TTGTGATGCTCTTTCAAGCTGTGGTGAAATTTTTGTCCAGGTTTGTCTAGATCAAAATTTCACCCAAATGGGGAAATTAAGGTCTATTGTAAAGGTGTGCAAATCCGATTCGAATCCGATCGGAATCGTTCGGATTGCGGAACCAAAATGTAAATTTCGGATCGGATTGATAAAGTTGTTTCGTAGTCGGATCGGACTTCGATATCCAAAATAAAATGAATTAATTATCCATACATTATCGCAAGAATTAATTATCCATACATTTATCAAAGTATCATCGCGGTTTTCGCTGCATATTCGTTTGATACTTCAATTGGACGTCACTTTGTCAGCTTCTTGACATGCATCTCTTGCTTTTATATTTATTTGGTTAAATATTTCAACTTGAATGAGAAATTTATTTTATTAAAGAACTCTTCGGATCAGATCGGATTGGTATTCTTTTTCAAAACTAGGATCGGATTCGGATTAGACAATTTCGGATCGGATTTTAAACATTAGGCAATTGTCGGATTATAAACGACCAATTCGATCCGATAATGATTATCAGCGAATTATTGTAAGGGCCGCTGCCCCCCGTCCTCCCCCCCGACTGCTACGGCCCTGAAAAGTAATAAACCGAAAAGTGACATTTACCGATTTACGATTTGTTTTACGTTATCCATGTAAATACCGTGATTTCGTAAATCAGTTTATACCAATGGTTTATACTGACAATACCATTTTATAATACTTTCTCTATTTAAACAACCAAAATTTTGTTATACTATTATTGCCGTAATTTTCCGAATGGCCAACTCGATTTTCCGAATATGTTAATTGTACAAAAGGGGGGGTTAGCCACCCCCCAATACCCCCCTCGCTACGGCCCTGGTCCCATTCTAAGTTACTATCGAAACCGCTAAAGTGGTAATTAAAATCGGTCCCTTGAGATTTGCATGCGGGGGATTTTATGTGATAAACTTTTTGGGGAAGGTGAAAAGTGACCGGTTTTGAACCTCAACAGAGCTCATGAACAATCAGGGGTAGATTGCTTAAATAACATTTTGATTAGTGTCAACAGTAAATCCGGAGTTCTACGAAACACTTTAACTCAATACCGTCCGTATTATTTGATTTCTGACATACATAACGGGAAGATTAAATATTAACCCAGCCGGCAAAACGAGGTCGAAACAACGTCGAAGGGGGGCCGGGGGTATCGTTTCCCGGGAATAATATAATAATAATGAAAACTTTATTAATAGAACATTTATAGATATATACAATTGTAAATCTCACTTCTTGAGGTAACCTACAATTGACTACTTGAATCACTTTTACATGGTTATAATTTTATATACAAAAATTTGTTAATTATTTATTGAAATAGTTACTTTAAATGTTCATTGGTTCGGGATTTGTCCATTCTTTATTTCTACAGTAAAATATGTAGTACGTTGATCGGATGGCAATAGATATCATTTTTCTGATACAGTATATATATATTGTTGGTGTTGATTATCCAGTCCTAACTCATTTAGCATTTTTACGAATGCATGTATGACATTCTTTGTCAAACACCCCTAGCGAACTGACTGAAAGATTTATAAACTTAACAGATATAAAGTTTTGATCCAGTTCTATAAAGTTTTTTATTTAGCTTTCTTGCGGTTAACATTGTGGTGAGGTTTGATTCAAAGCCTACAGTAAGTTCAACAACGTAGAGGTGTTTGTCTGAAGTGGAGACAAGTAAATCAGGACGATATTTATCTCCCGTAATAATCGAGGGGCTTTCAAATCCAGGAAGATCAACAAGTAATTTGCATTTGTTTAAACTTTGAAAAGTTTTTGCAAGAAAGTTTAGTATGCAATCGTGTCTCCAAGTGAATCGTTCCAAGTGATGTTGACAACCGGCAACAACGTGTAGAAGTGAATCAGGGTGTAAGCAGAACAACATTAACAACATTAGTATGACATTAGTTGTGGGTTATCCCATTCTTTGTTACGCTCACAGAATATATAATACGAAAACCTGATACATATGTTAATAATTTTCCGAACATAGTACTTTCTACATTGTTCATCAAACTTTAGATCCTTCAGCATTTCGGTGAAATCTAGCGACGGCTGGCTGAAAACTCCTAATGAGCTAATCGATAAATTTACAAATTTTACTGTTTCATAATTTTTGAGCTGTTCATTAATTAGATCTTAATATTTTTGTCTTTTTCGAGTTGCATTAGTGAGGAGATTAGATTCAAATCCGACGGTAAGTTCAAGTATATAAATACATTTGTTTTCAAGTGTTATCAAAAGATGAGGGCGCAATTCATCTCCGGTGAGAACAGATGGACTGATATAGCCAGGTAGGTCAGCATAAAGGTTACAATGGTTCACAGATTTAAGTATGGATGCTATGAAGTTAAGCACCGAATCATGACGCCACGTGAAACGTCCTTCATTTAGGTAGGTCTTGCATCCAGCGACGACGTGAAGAAGTGATTCTGGATTCAAACAAAACGAACATTCGGATGTTGGTTATATTCCCCATTTCAGAAGGTTTTTACGAGTCAGAAGAGTGTTATTTATATAGCGGATAGTGAAGTTAAATATGTTCTTGGGAAGTTTACTCTAAACGGAGGACCATATAGAGTTGAATGAGAGTGTAGAATGTTTAATGATATTGGAGAAACATGAGCCTTGTGAAATGAGGTGGTGTTGAAGCTTGTCTTTCTTTTTTTAATGGAAACTTTATTACTTTCAATAATATATATACACACTACAATGATAAACCTCTCTTTACAGGTAGTTTACCAGTGTCTACTTGAATTAACACTCTACATAATAACAATATTAGTATGACATTAGTTGTGGGTTATCCCATTCTTTGTTACGCTTACAGAATATATAATACGAGGACCTGATACATATATTAATAATTTTCCGAACATAGTACTTTCTACATAATAATAATAATAATAATAATAATAATAATAATAATAATAATAATAATAATAATAATAATAATAATAATAATAATAATAATAAGGAAAACTTTATTGAATTTTTTATGCACTTACAATTGAAAATCTCACTGTTAAAGTAATTTACAATTGGCTACTTGATACGCTTTATATTACTACATTTACATAACACATGGACATAATTATATGATACAAAAAGTAAGAGACTAACTAGAAGTTCATTAAATCTGGATTCGACCAATCCTTGTTTCTAGAACAGAAAACGTAATATGTCGTTCTTATTGCAATGTTAATGATTTTCCTAATGATATATTTAACACCGGCCTTATCTGAGTTCAAATGTTCCAACATTTGTATGAAATGTGAAGATTCTTTTTCAAAAACACCGAGTGCACTGATTGAGAGGTTAATGAACTTTACCGGCCGGAATTTTTTCTTTTGTTCTACAATCATCTGTTTATATTTTGAATATTTGCGCTGTATATTATTCTTCAGGTTAGTCTCATATCCAACGGTTAGTTCGAGTACATACAGACAATTGTCTTTGGTCAAAATTAGTAGATCAGGACGATGGTCATCACCAGTAATAATAGAGGGATTAGGGAATGACGGTAAGTCAGCATAAATGGTCTGAATATGTTCTGATGGGAGGTTATTAGCAATAAAATTTAGGATTGAGTCGTGTCTCCAAGTAAATCGATCAAGATAGGAACTACAGCCAGCAACAACGTGTAACAGAGATTCAGGTTTAAGGCAAAACGAGCACTCAGAGGACGAGGAGATTCCCCATTTTTGAAGGTTTTTACGGGTTGGTAGCGAATTGTTTATGTAGCGAATAGTGAAGTTGAAATTGTTTTTTGGTAGTTTGGATCGACAGGTTGGCCAAATCGAATTTACTTGGGGTAGTGAAAATTTTGAGATGCTGGAATAATAATAATACTAATAATAATCATAATGGAAACTTTTTATTAGATATTTACGATATACTATATATACATTGATAAACCTCACTTAATAAAAGGTAGCTTATCGTTGTCCACTTGAATTGAATTTAAAGCTAAAATATATATACAGGTGAAAATCTTTTAAATTTAGTTAAAAGTTTAAAAGTTCTGGGTTGTTCCAGTCTTTGTTTCGTCTACAGAATATATAATAAGACGTGCGAATACAAGTAGCAATTATTTTCTTTTTTACATATTTAATACATTGTTCGTCGTACTTCAGATCATGGAGCATATCAAATAAAGTATTCGTCGATTCACCAAATACACATAAAGAGCTTATAGATACATAATAATAATAATAATAATAATGGAAACTTTATTTATTGTTTATTAGGATATATACAACTACAATGATAAACCTCGCTTTACAGGTAGTTTATCAATGTCTGCTTGAATTGATACTATATATTTATTGTACAATAATTATTTTAAGAAGGATTATATTAACATTAATTTTGGGTTATCCCACACCTTGTTTCGTTTACAAAATACATAATATGATGTTCGTATGCATATGTTCACGATTTACTTTTTTATGTGTTTACTATACTTGGCATCACATTTAAGGCTACTTAGCATGCCATCGAAATTTTCAGAAGATCGGCCAAAAACTCCGAGGGTACTCAAGGATAAATTGACGAACTTGACTTTATCATAATCTGCTTCCTGCTCATTGATTAGATCACGGTACTTTTGACGCTTACGATTGGCGTTAACTAGCAGATTGGATTCATAACCGACTGTAAGCTCCAGGATGTATAGACATCTGTTTTCAGTCACCAGCAAAAGGTCAGGTCGTAAATGATCTCCCGTGATAACAGATGGATTCATAAAACCAGGAATGTCCGCGTAAAGTGTGGAATTTTAATAATAATGGAAACTTTATTAAATGTTTTTCTTTACATACATATACAATCGTAAATCTCTCTCATAAAGGTAACTTACGGTTGGCTATTTGAATCACAATTATACTAAACTAAAATAACAGAACAAAGTGCATGCAATATATATATATATACAATGAGATAAGTCAAATTGTTAGTAAATCCGGATTTTCCCATTCCTTATTTCGGCAACAAAAAATGTAATATGTAGTTCTAATAGCAATAGTCATCATTTTCCTAACGCAGTACATTTGGTGGTTTTTGTCAAGACCAATACTATCTAACATGTCTAAAAATGTATAACATTCTTCTGCAAAAATACCTAAAGAGCTGATGGAGAGGTTTATAAATTTAACTTGGTTAAAATTTTTACCTAGCTGTCTCAATAATTCTCTATATTTATCCTTCTTCCGTTTTACGTTGTTTTTGAGGTTTGTCTCATAACCAGTGGTGAGTTCAGCCACATATAAGGAACCATTTGAGCACGATAATAACAAATCTGGGCGATACGTATCACCAGTAAGTATTGAAGGGCTTTTGAATCCATTTAGGTCGGCGTAGAGAGTAGAACCGTCAACAGTTTCTAACTGATGAGCAAGAAAGTTCAGGACTGAATTGTGTCTCCACGTAAATCGGTCGAGATAAAACTGACATCCAGCTACTATGTGTAGTAATGTTTCAGGGCTAAGACAAAAAGAACAGTCTGAATTTGAAGATATTGCCCATCTGTTTAGGTTTTTACGCGTCGGAAGAGAGTTGTTAATGTAACGAATGGTAAAGTTGTAAATGTTTTTCGGGAGCTTTGATTGGGCGACGGACCACACCTTGCTAAGCTGAGGTAAAGCGAACTTCGTGACGCTGCAGAAAAAGGATCCTTGACTGGTTAATTGGTTCAGGAGTTTGTTTTCGTGTCCAGAACGAAAATCTTTGAGAACTTCCTTAGCAGAGCTATAAGCGTCATATTGGATATTAGTATGGTTACTGGTTGCTTTCCACAGGTCGTTAGTTGATTCATTAGGAGAAGATTTTAAAGCTTTTCGGAGGATTGTAATAATAATAATAATAATAATAATAATAATAATAATAATAATAATAATAATAATAATAATAATAATAATAATAATAATAATAATAATAATAATAATAATAATAATAATAATAATAATAATAATAATAATGAAAACTTTATTGAATTTTTTACGTATATATACAATTGTAAATCTCACTACTGACTTAGGTAATTTACAATTGGCTACATGAATCACAGAGTACTACATATGTACTATTTACAGTAAAAACAAGAATAAAATGGGTATATGATTATATATATTGTTATATGTAGTTATTAATTTAAATGTTTAACAATTCAGGGTTTGTCCACTCTTTGTTTCGACAGCAAAAAATATAGTACGTCGCTCTAATGGCAGAAGACGTCATCTTTTTTATGCAGTAATGTTGCTGCTTTTTATCCATTCCTATAGTGTCCAACATTTCTAAAAAGGTGAAGCATTCTTTGTCAAACACACCGAGAGAGCTCATTGATAGGTTTACAAATTTAACAGAATTAAAGTGACCCCTTTGATCTTCAATTAGATCTCTGTATTTAGCTTTTTGCGTTCAACGTTATTATGTAGATTAGATTCAAACCCGACAGTGAGTTCAACGACATAAAGATCTTCATTTGGGGTAATTAGGAGTAAGTCCGGTCGATATAGGTCACCAGTTATAATTGACGGGCTTTTGTGGCCGGATAGGTCAGCATAAAGTTGACATGGATTTGTTGTTTGAAACGTTTCAGCGAGAAAGTTTAAAATAGAATCATGTCTCCAAGTAAAGCGCTGAAGGTACGATTGGCAGCCGGCTACCACGTGTAATAGGGTTTCAGGGCACAAACAAAAGGAACATTCGGGACTTGACGCTAAACCCCATCTTGTAAGGTTTTTTCGCGTAGGAAGAGAGTTATTTATGTAACGAACGGTGAAGTTGAAAATGTTCTTTGGCAGTTTTGATTGAGCGGCAGACCAAAGTGTGTTTAACTTTGAAAAGGAAATCTTTGCAACATTCGAGAAAAATGAACCTTGACAAATTAAACGGTGTTGAAGCTTATCTTCTTGTCCAGAATGAAAATCCTTGAGAACTTCCTTTGTTGAATTATGTATGTCGTACTGAATATTAATGTGATTGTTAGTTGATTTCCAGAGTTCTTTTATGGAATCATTTGGGGATGTTTTTAAAGCGTTGCGTAGGACAGTTTGACATTGGATAAATTTGACCGATGCAGGGAGGATATTCAGACCGAATTTGTTATGCGTTAGATAAATATTACTTAATGTTCCAGAAATGGGTATTTCAAGCCACTTTCTGATGTATTGATTAATCACAGAATTGATTGTTTCCGTTACCCAGGTTTTCGACAGGGGTGCAACAGTGAGATGCCAGGATATTTTGGATAGAACGTAGCGGTTATATAGAATAACTTTGTTTTTTGGGTGTAGAGCTTTATAGTCGATATCAGACATTAGTTCATCAATGAGGGACATTAGTTCAGATTTGTGTTCTTGGTCGGACATATCAAAATCAAAGAATCTTCCTAGATATTTAAAAGATTCTCCCATTTCGATAGTAGGTATGAGACCATTGTTAATTAGTAGTTTCGGTAAGTACTGAACGGATTTTGTCAAAACTTTCTTGATGCCAAAGGTGCTACATTTATCAACTCTGATTATCATGTTCGACCATTGACACCAGATTGTGAATCGGTTTAAGAGGTGTTGGTTTTCATAATCTTGGCCAGTGATAACAGCACTGAGCTATACTATATTACTGGAGGACCTGCTTGGGATAAAAAAGTGTCGCCAAAAACATGGCGGATCTGACGCCATTGCCATGACTACTGGTCCCTAAATTCATGGCAACTACCACTGTCCCAACTGCGATCCTAAGCTTTCGACGATGTACTTCACCCCCCTGGTTTGAGCCTAAAAAATTTGTTTTTGAGAAGAAAATCTCACTGAAAATCGTGATATTTTTCTTCCAATTTGCTTGATTTACAACGGATACTGCATTTTTACGCCGCTCGTATGTGTGAGAATTCTCCAAACAAGAACGGCGAGAAGAATATATTTTTATTCACCGGTAAGATTTTATACAGTTATTTGAATATTTCTAGATTCTAGCTTGCTGTGTCTGCTTGCTTTTATATTAAACTCGATAGAAAAAAATTTAAGAAATGTACGAAGCACAAACCATAGGAAAATGGTTGGGAATCCTGTAAATTTTATTGATTTTAATACCACTAGGCTCTGTATTTTCATAGCCATAGGGTTTTAAAACCTGCTTATAGACTATAGTGTCAAAATCCTCACTGTGGACTTACTGTATATTTATTTTATGGCACTACAGGCTTTTATAGTATTATAGTAGATATAAGCAAATTTTCCCTGACAAGCTTTGAGTGATATATATAGCCTTGCCAGCGGTTCTTGTAGCAGTTATATATAATGACTGTGTATACTGTAGTTATATTATTTATCACTTCTACAACAGGCAGGTGAAAATTAAATTGTTTTGCTGAATATGCTGGGCCAATTAAAGGCCATTAAAGATATCAAGTTCAAACCATTCAAATGATTCAATACCCATTGCAATCAAGCAATGACCATAAACCTAAGCCCCAATGACAGACCCCAAATATAAGCCCTCTTGTGTAGAATTGCACCACAAGCAATTCTGAATATAAAGCCCTCTCCCAAATTTAACCCATTAAGTGCCAGCACTCTCCCCTTGAAGAGTAAAATCGTCTGGTGTTAGACAGAGTAAAATACCAAAGTAGGGTGCATCAGGGTGCAATGCAACTCAATGGGTTAAATCCCTCTGTGTGAGCCCATAAACTTATTTTTGGACAGGTATTTTTTAATGCAGCGAAGGGGTTCCAACAGCTCAGCCCATCAAAAATGCTATTGAATGAATATAAGCATTGGGTCGTTCCAGAAAAGATCCACACTCCCCACACAGAGGAAATTTCTGCCGTCCCGAGGGGGAGAGGAGACAAAATTGTTTCTGATAATTGTAAATGTATTAGGACATCCGAAGGGGGTAGGGGAGTTAACTTCCAATTTCCTCTGTGGGGGTGGTATGGATGTTTTCTGGAATAACCCATTCAGAGGTTTACATATGGTATTCATCTGCCCAACATAGTATGTCAGAGTTATATAAATTCCACAGCCATTAGAGTTGTAGACTTGTAGTTAGGTATTTGTAGGAATGAAGGGTGTCTACGTGCCAGCCAATGCATATTCGCTGCCATTGGCATTGACCAAAATTGTGCCCTGACAATTAACCAATCAAATTGCCGATGATTGATAACATGTACATTTGAGAGCATCTTCAGTGGTGGTATATTATATCCCCAGTATTGGAGTAGAGCCCAACTGTTCAGTTAGACATTATTTATGAACTTCCTCTCTTATATCTGCATAGATTATTTTTGATATATTGTAATGTAAAATGAAACTTTGGGATAGTTAAGAAATACAATTAATCCATTTATAATGGACAAGATTGTCCCCTTAACAAGTAAAATTGCCTGGCATATTAGATGGGCTTATAAATGACATACCATATTAATTAACCATTAGGTTGCATTGTGCCCTAATGCACCCTAGCTACTTTATTATTTTACTCTGTCTAACACCAGACAATTTTACTTGTGAACTGGAGAGCCACTCAGTGCTCAATGGGTTAACATGTCAATGTCTAACTGAACTGTCTGGGCTCTGCTCTGCAGTAAATTTCCTTGTAATTGGAGTCTGGGATCTGTGACCCAATACATCTTCAGTGTCTTCATATGGTACTGTCACTATTTTATATGTATAATGGACATTTCTCATTTAGGGTGAATCTGATGTAAGTCATGTGGACAAGAAATTAATACAAGTTCTTTCGAATGTTCAAATAGCAAGAGTTAAGTGGTGCACTAGCTCTTGCCAGACTTAACTGCATGCCAGAACTAACAATTACTTTTCTCTATAATTTTGTGGGAATGTGTTATTTATATGTATGTACTACAAACAGCCAAAGAATAACCCATGAGCTCTAGTTTTAATTTTTTAATAATACTGTTAAGTATTACATGTAACTTGATTGTACAGTTAGGTTTTAATATTATTTACTGCTAATGGGTCATATTCCAGAAAACATCCATACCACCCCCACAGAGGAAATTACGTACATTTACTATTATCAGAAACAATTTTTTCTCCCCTCCCCCTCCGGACGGCAGAAATTTCCTCCGTGGGGGGAGTGTGGATCTTTTCTGGAACGTCCCAATTGGATAATTATTCTTTAACCATGCAAGTTGAATTAAAATAAATAATATACAAAATCAAGCAAATTTTGTCTTTAATTAATTTTGAAACAATTAATACATGTTTCTTGGAGGTTCACTAACAGTGGCATGAACTCTTTGTGGGAGCATTCTGCAATAAGCAAGAATAGATTATAGCCATAGGGGCTATCAATATGGAAGCCAGGCTGGCCTGGTTGGCAGAACTATTTATTATTTCCAGATTAATTTCCTTGCCAACACAATTCTATTGTTTTGACAATATTTCCATGACCAATGTTGTATTGACTTTACTTTGACCAGGTCAGTCCAGTTAGTGTTTATATCCATAAAATATCTTCCCGGTGTAACTGAGAGCTTGCCTTCTTCAGGTGAGATCTGAAAACTGAGCCAGTCAGGTTGTCCATACAATTTGAAAGGAATTTCCACTATAAAAATAACCACACAGTGAGTGAGACCTTGCTTACTGGCCTAGGGCTAGCTGTCACATTAGCCCCTACCTCAGGAACACCAGAAATATGCCAGCAGTTGAGTCAATTAACCCAATACTTATAGGGATGGGGCAAACAAGTTAATGCATGGCCTTTTAAAGATACATGCAACAAACTATCAGAGAGCACACAATATACATGCAAACTTGGGCAAAACATATGCATTTTCAGATCAGCTGAGCTTTTTCCAGCACCAGTTCTGAGCTCATGCATGAAAAAACCCGGTCTTGGCTAAATCTATAAAACCTTACTTCCCTCTTTAATATACTAGCACATCATAGTTTCATGTCAACTCAAATATTTGTCAAATTCATATACATGTACAACCATTAATTCCTTGGGATTGAGGGATGAAATTATTATATTTTAAAATTAAAAGATTCGTCTACAACCACATTATAAATACTCGTGGCTTATTTTCTAAAAAATAGAGTACATTCTACCATTTATTCCTAACATTTTTTCATGAAATATTTAAAATAGTAATGTAAATTTTGAAAAATGTATAAATACCTGTTTATAGTCTGATAAATACGGATGTTTGTTCTGGCTTGAAATATCGTTTTTGCCCACATTTCGCGAGGTTTTAATAGTTGTTTGTTGTCTTTCACGCTCCACAGACGAGAATTAACGTGTACAGCTTCCACATCTTTGAACAAATTGTCAACAGGCGAAAAAATATGTCGAAAATATCAAAACAACAAGGATTCACTGCAAATTGCAAAAAGCCGAAATATTTTTATAAAAACCAGGGGGGAGTGAAAACTGTGGCGGGCTCATAATTGAGCCTTGTTCAGTGGCAATTACCATGAATTTAGGGACCAGTAGTCATGGAAATGGCGTCATTTTTCATCAAAATCCGCCATGTTTTTGGCGACACTTCGTTGACTGAACGAAGTATAGGAGCAGGTC